TAGTAGTAGTAGTAGTAATAATAGTAATAATCATAGTAGTAATAGTAGTAATAGTTATAATAGTAATAGTAGTAATAGTAATAGTAGTAATAGTAGTAATAGTAATAGTACTAGTAGAAGTAGTAGTAGTACTAGTAATAGTAGTAATAGTAAAAGTAATGATAGTAATAATAGTAATAGTAGTAATAATAGTAATAGTAGTAATAGTAGTAATAATAGTGATACTAGTAATAATAGTAATAGTAGTAATAGTAGTAGTAGTAATAATAGTAATAGTAGTAATAGTAGTAGTAGTAGCAATAGTAGTAATAGTAGTAGTAGTAGTCAAAGGAAGTTTAGAAGGAACTTCCGTGTTACGGCAACTAATTGAAAGCTAGCTCTCTTAGACAAATGACAAGAGAAGGAATAAGCCCACGAGGAAAAATGCGCGCGCGTGTGGCAGGGGAAGAGAAAGTCGCAAAAAACATGGCCCTGTGCGTGAATCGATGTTTTCGGAGATGAGAAAATCGCAAAAAGCGTGGCGCTGTGCGTGAATTGGCGTCTCCGGACACGCGAAAGCTAGCCTGTCCGCGGCGTCTCGTCGGAGCGGGCTCGGAGCGGTCTCGGAGCGGGGTCGGCGCCGGGCCCATTGGCACGGCAACGCACAGGTTTCGCAAGGTTTGAATTGCGTGGCAGGCGCAGCATTTTGGTGAGGTCGGGTGCAGATTTCGTGGCAGGCGCAGCACTTTCGCAAGGTCAACTTTTCTCAAGGTTTGAATTGCGTGGCAGGCGCAGTAATAGTAATAGTAGTAGTAATAGTAGTAGTAGTAATAGTTATAATAGTAATAGTAGTAATAGTAATAGTAGTAATAGTAGTAATAGTAATAGTACTAGTAGTAGTAGTAGTAGTAGTACTAGTAATAGTAGTAATAGTAATAGTAATGATAGTAATAATAGTAATAGTAGTAATAATAGTAATAGTAGTAATAGTAGTAATAATAGTGATACTAGTAATAATAGTAATAGTAGTATTAGTAGTAATAATAATAGTAATAGTAATAGTAATAATAATAATAGTAGTAGTAGTAATAGTAGTAGTAATAATAATAGTAGTAGTAATACTAGCAATAGTAGTAGTAGTAATAATAAGTAGAAATAGTAGTAGTAGTAGTAATAATAATAGTAATAGTAGTAGTTATAGTAGTAGTAGTAATAATAATAGTAGTAATAATCGTAGTAATAGTAATAATAATAGTAGTAGTAATCGTAGTAATAGTAATAGTAATAGTAGTAATAGCAATAGTAGAAATAGTAGTAGTAGTAGTAGTAGTAGTAATAGTAGTATTAGTAATAGTAGTAATAGTAGTATTAGTAATAATAGTAATAGTAATAATAATAGTAGTAATAGTAGTAGTAGTAATAGTAGTAGTAGTAATAGTAGTAGTAGTAGTAGTAGTAATAGGAGTAATAATAGTAATAGTAGTAGTAGTAATATTAGTAGTAGTAGTAGTAATAGTAGAGTAATAGTAGAAGTAGAAATAGTAGTTATAGTAGTAATAGTAGTAGTAGTAAGTAGTAGTAGTAATAGTAGTAATAGTAGTAGTAATAGTAGTAGTAGTAATAGTAGTAGTAATAGTAGTAGTAATAGTAGTAGTAGTAATAATAGTAAGAGTAGTAGTAGTAATAGTAGTAGTAGTAATAGTAGTAGAAGTAATAGTAGTAGTAGTAGTAATAGTAGTAATAGTAATACTAGTAATAGTACTCATAGTAGTAGTAGAATCCTTGTCGGGACAGTCTTCACTGAAACTTGTCGGTGTAACGATGTTCTTTGTCGTTGTAACATGTTCTTTGTCGTGGTTACAACCCTCTCTAGTAAGGATCAACCCTCAAAATGGGGCTTCGGGCCTTTCGGGTACTCACATATGCCATGTTAGTGAGCTCGCTGTAGAATTTGCTCAAGAATTGATGCTTAAACGAGCCGCACAGTTCCGAACGGTATAAGTACGTACACATGCAAAACCTGGAGCTAAGCCCAAGCAGGAAACTGGAAGGTGCACTTTCGGCCTTCCACTTGGCATCTGGCTCAACATGTGTGATACATCCTTGCCAGAACTTAAGCAACCCAGCTTGCGTGCGAAGCTGCCCTGCATGCCCAGTGCGCCCAGCATGGGGTGGCCCATCAAGCCCAATTCGTCGCACAGCTTCTGGTTGAAGTGGCAGTTGAGAGCGGCAAGGTGGGTGTGGCTGTTCCCTGGTAGTTGGCTGCTGACGCTGTTCATATATTCCAGGAACTCCCCACATCGCAGACACCATGGGGTGTAGGAGCCGACAATCCACAGGTGCTTCATCAGGGTTTTGTTGGAGGTAATGTGCCGGAACAGGCCTTCATCCAGGTTGAGTAGGCCTTTCGGGGCCTCGGGCGGGCAATCCTCACGAAGACTTCAGGTGTGCGTCCTCTCCCTTTAAGGGAGGCCCACTTTGATTGAAGTCAGCCATTTTGGGGCTGTACTGGGTCTTGACA